AATATATTTTTTTTTTTAATTTTTATTAAAATTTTTTTTTTTTTTTTTTTTTTTTTTTTTTTTTTTTTTTTTTTTTTTTAGGAAGGTGAAAATAATTTTATAACTAAGATGTATCCAAGTGGATTAAGTATTACACCATGGCCAATTTTCAATGATCCTGCTTGGTTTAAAAGTTTAAGGGATATCAAAAAACTTTTAGACGAACAAAATCCTAAATATGAGAATGCACGATTATTTTTACAGAATACAAAAGTTATTATGGCTAAATTAAAGGTTATAATGTTTTTATATTTAACATTTTATTGTATTATACTGTATTTATTATTTACATCAGTTATAATTTTTTGATATTTAAAGATTTGTGATTGGAGTTCTTTAAATGAGAACCTAGTTCAAATTCGTATATCGATACTTAAAAAGCTTCTTCCAACAGTAATTTCACTTGGAATTGAAATAAAGGATTCAACTATTGAACATTTATTGGTAAGTTTAAAGCTATTTAAAATTTAATTATTTTTGTTTTACATTATAGTAATAAATTTAAACTTTCAGAATAGAGATACTGGACTTAATATAGATGATCCTGCAGTTCCTATATTTGAAATATGTAAAGATTTTAATAATTCAACAATCTTGTTTGCTGATTCGGAGCTTTTGTTATTCGAAGAAAATAGAGACTTTATTCACCTTTCTACTGGTCAAAGAATTTATTTTGAAGAAAATATACAAAAACGTGATGAAGCATCTAATGATACTTTATGGTTTAATAAGTTGGAAAAATTTTTTAAATTTATTATTGAACGTCGAGTCCTTCGTGTTCAAGAATGGTTTACACAAAACACTATTAAATTTCCACCAGATAATAACGAAGTTATTATTTGTCAATATGCTATTGAACAAGAAATTACCAGGCTTACACTCTTTTGGAAATTATGTGGTCTTACTTGTAATTATTGCAACCTTAGGTGTTTAAATAATCGTGATCATGAAGGAGAGCATAATTGCACAACAAACCATGAATGTCACGCTAATTGCCAGTTTACTGAAACACATATTAATGAAAACATTATTCCGAAATGTAGCTATAAAGCTGGTCATGAAGGTTCGTTAAACTAAGAATTATAAGTAAACTTATTAAAATTCTAATTATTCACAAGATTAAAATGTTACAGGCAAACACGCATGTTATGGCGCCAGTCACTTATGCGGAAAGCCTTGTCGTTTCTCAAATAAAAAGAATTGCCTGAAAAAATGCTCAAAAGAAATTGATCATGGGGATAAAAATCATCTATGCCAATCCACGGTAAGTAGTAAATAAATGTTTCGGAATTGCGCGTATTTTAATTATTCTAATATATAACTTGTATATTAGCTTCACTATTGTGGTGCATCATGTTCATTAGCTACACAAAATGGCGACTATAGATGCCCTAACACATGTAATTTACCGTGCGAAGAGCAACACGATTCTCATCGGGTATAATGATGTTTCATATTAAATTACACAGTTATAAATTCATATAAAGAAGTTTAATTGATATAACTTATCAACTTAGTGTGAGGATGAAACATGTCCTATTCAATGTCCAGTCAATGGTTGCCCGCGGCGTTGCAAGAGTAATGACCATTTTCATGCCCTTTCAGACTCTGATCATTTTTGCGGAAATGAACATCAATGCCAGGAATTATGCGAAGAACCTGGAATATGCAAAACCCAATTGGAGCCAAAAAAGCAAGAAGAAATTTATAAAGGACTTGTTAAAGGAACCTCAATTACATTCACCAAAGTATTTAAGACAAATTTATTAAGAATGATATATAATCAAATCACATTTTAAAATATTTAAAAGTTTTATTTTTACTTTAGTACATTCAAATGATTGAAACGCTGCCTTGTAGTAAGAAAATTCCACCAAATTCGTTTAAGCATACTGGCACACATTCTCATGATATAAGTGACAGGAGTAAACATTACTGCAATGTAAAATGTAAGAATTAATTTATTTATATTTGGTTCTTATTATAGAGTATTTTATTGAGTTATTCATTAATTTATAAATGTATTTTTGCTGATAATTTTAATAGGCAAATATTGTGAATATTATGCAAGTTATCTTTTTATTTTATTTTTAATTAATGAAAAAGCCCTCAAAATGTTTTATTTATTATTTGATGTCACTTTTCCTATCAGTGTGTTTTACCTATTGGACATCATGACTTACATGAGACACGTCACGGAAACATGTTGCAAACTGAATTTACTGCAGAAGATGATGATAATGAATTTTTATATGGAGGGTACGTACAAAAATGATTTTAAAATGAAGATTTCTTTTATTATTCATCTTAAATTCTACCACAAAAGTCATAGATTAAAGGCTGGTGATGAAGGAACTTTCGTATTATGCACTTTGGCATGTGTTAATATCGATTTAATTCTTATTTTGTATTTTGCTCATTATTATTTTGACATATTTTTTAGCAATGCAAAGAATTAGGCAGGCATAGACATATCGATTATTGCCAAAATGCAGATACGTAAATTAAACACAAGTCGGGAGCACATTTACAGTAATAATATCTGTTATTATTTTATTCTTGTTTGCTAAAACATTAATAGTTTAAATTAATTATCACTCTGAATCTGATAGGCCGTGTTCATCCTAATCCTGAAAAAGCAAAAGACTTCATATCACATCGACGTTTTTGGAAGCTTACTGGTTTTAAGGGTATGTTAACATTAGGCCTTTTAAAGTTGATTATATATTATTACTCTCTTTCGATGTCCCCGAAATTAAACAACCAACCACGACACAGAATAATTTTCACTAATCACACAATTGTAGCAATTTTAATTGGGATTAACCAAAATGCTCAAACCTCAAAAAAATATAACGTGGATTAATTTAAGATATTTTAATTTTTTTTTTTTTTATAAAACCACTAGATCCATATAGCATACAAGATCAACATGAATTCTCTAAATGTGATCACGAATGCCAGGATGAAAAACATAATACGACAGATGACCCTTCTAAATCTTACTGTGAAATGCCACTTTTCCACGCTATCCTTGACCCATCAAAAGCTCCTCCAGAACATGGGTATATTTCACTTGATGGTCATGTAAGTCTTGTATATAAAAATATTATTATCAAAATAATTATGAAATAGATGCGTATTAAATAAAATTTTCATTATGATTTTTTTTTTTTTTTTAAAGCGTTTTAATTGCGAAGACCCAAGTAAATCAGAAGTTGATTTCCATATTATTTTTGTCCTGGATCGGTCTTCTTCTATGCGAGAAAGTGACAGGAAACCCATACAAGGCACTCCAATTTATAATGATCTTATCAAAGGACATAATAACCGTCTTGGCGCTGTTTATAATGCGGTGAGAATTAATCTTTAAAAATGATTTTCTTATCAATACTTTATATAATTTAAAATTTCAATAAAATATTTTAGGTTTATTTATTTTTAAAAACCCGCTTATCTTCACAAACTGCTCAATACAATAAAGCAGTTTCCCGAGATACTGTTTCTTTAATACTTTTTGACTACGAAGCGATAATCGCAATTGAAAACCAACCTTTGAAAGATCCTGAAAGTCTCTTAAATATGATGCTTCAACATAATTATAGAGTGGGGACTAATTTCAACAATGCAGTTCTAAAAGCTGGTTCTTTGATTGATAATCATTTTAATCCTTCAAAGTATGTATATAATATATTGATTATATAATTTTGTATTTTAATAAATGAAAGTCTTTTTATATTAAACTTTTTTAGGACGAATATTATTTTGTTCTGTTCAGATGGAAAGTGTGGGGTGCCTAATGAGGAGTTAAAAAGCATTTGTTCAAAAAATCAAAAAAGAGGGTAAATAATACTCTAATATAATTTTTATACATAAAATTTTAAAAATTTTAATTTACAATTCCTTGTAAAATATTATAGGTCTCCAATATTTTTGAACACGATTTTATTCAGTAATAATTTAGAGTGTCCATCATTGCAACATATGGCTGATATAGCACAAAGTTATCTTCCAAAAGCAACCAATTCTAGTGCATTAAGATGTCAATTTACAAGAGTTATAGATGAAGTAATTTTAGTTAATACTTTTAATGGTATTGCGGAGAGTTTAAGAAGACATAAACCAGTATTGTTAAAGAAAAATAAGTTATAAGTGATTATTTTTCTTTTTGTGAATAGATTGAAATATTTTTTTAGAATGGTTATTTTATAGAGTCTAGCAATTATTGTCATTAATGTTTAAAATAAATAAAATTTTGTATTCGGATACTCCAACGAACTTTGACTAATGGGTGTGAGTCATAGAGTGTACCAAATTTTTTTCCAAGCAAATTTTTTTAAAACTTTTAAATAGAAAAATTTAGCAAAACTTAATCAAATTTATAAAATTTTTATTAAATTGAGAAATCTTAAGTTTCAAATATTGAAGCTTAGTCATTTCACAAAAACGTGTCGGTCCTGACCCATATTTTATAATATTCGATATTAATCTCTCATATTTTTTAAAAAAAAATTTTAATCAGATACAAAATTTAACATCAAAATATAAATTAAAAGTAAGTAAATAATATTTATAAAGTTTATTTATTTAAATGCAAAAATTAAAAAAAAAAATACTAATATATATTTGTCTTTGCTTATTTTTTTTTACTATTTTCAACTATTTTCTTTGTATCAATAAATTTGCTAGTATATAATAAATCTGGATACTTCTGCGTGATTATTGGTAATGCTTTAATAGTTTTATCAGCAGATAAGAATTTTTCCTTTATTTGAAGGTTATCATTGTTATTATAACCTTTAATATACTTCCATTGATAATAAAGTTTTAAGATAACTTCATCAATAGTTGGTCGTTTCTGTGGATCTCGATCCATACATTTTTCAGCTAACTTGATATAACAATCAGGAGTTCCAGGTGAAAATTCTGGTTGCAAACCCTCATAAATAATTTTAATAGCAAGATCCTCATTATATAATTGACCATCAAAAGGTCTCTGCCCAGTTGACATTTCTGCCATAATAATACCTAGTCCATAAATATCAGCTGCTGGTGTATAATGTTTTTGACCCAATAAAATTTCAGGTGCAACATAAGGAATAACTCCAAAAACTTTTCCAATTGAAGCATTCTCTTGAATTTTTTTAGATAATCCAAGGTCCGCAATATAAGATTTTATTTCAGTATTATTAATTCGATTTTGCAAAATATTTCCACTGTGAAAATCACAATGAATAAATCCTGCTTTATGAATTTTTGCTAGATCATAACATATTTCCATAAGCTGCCATAATTTACGTTCCCATGTAAGTTCTTTAAAATTTGTTTTTAAAAACTTATTAAGATTTCCATTATCAGCAAACTGATATACTATCAGATAATCGCCAGTTAAATTTTTAGTTAATCCATATATCTTACTTTCACTACCTTTTAATGTACATTGCATATGATTTTTAAACTTATTTAAACAATTTAAATTAATATATTTTGTTGTTTCTTAATAAAAACAAACAATTCAACTTACTTCTTTTAAAAAATCAGAATCATGAGAATTATATAAAGTTCTAAGTGCAACCTTGGATGATTTTTTACGTGAATTTGCAAAGTTGTTGTCTTTATTTCCAAGTATTCGTATACCATCCAACCAGATTGCTGAATATACTGAGCCAAAACCTCCTTTACCGATTTCTGTAACTTCATCAAGTCTATCAAATGGGATCCATTCAATCACTTCAGTATAAACCATAGCTTTACGCTGAAATTCTTTAATACAATTATCAACTTCATTATTTCCACTTGACAATCCTTCTTGAATAATTTTTTCAGCATCACATTTCTGGCACCAAGTATAGAAAATAAACTGTCCACAATTTTCACAATTTTTACAATTTCTATAATTAATAGTTTCTTGAAATAAATAAATTCATTCATATTTTTTAGATTCAAATTTCATTTTTGAATAAACACTATACTTACAATCTGGTAGTTTAACATAAATATTAATATTTAGAAAAGTTTTATTAATGATGCATATAGAATTTTATAAAACACTTACGAACTAGAATTTAATGTACAAGTCAATAAACCAAAAAAAAAGAATATTTAATAAATATTCTATTAATAAGTACATTAAAGACTCTATACTTACGCCCTAATAAAATAATTTTATTTAATGAATATTACAATATAAAAATTATGATATAAATATTACAAAATGTAATATGAAAATTATCTAACA